AGATGAACAGTTCCAAAAGTCAAAAGTGGACGAATATAGCGGGACGGAGGTAGTATATGACAAATGGTATAGAGTTAAAAAATTAAAATTACATATCAAAATACTACATCAAAAAATCTACAAAACTAGTAGTGACAACAATATTTTATTTTATCAAATTACTAACGAAAATAGGAAAAAAAAGTGAATAAAGTTTGACCCTGTAAATAGTGAACAGACATTATAATTTGGGACAGAAGGAGTAAAATATTCTTGTCACCTCTTGTTTTGTAGAATTTTTAAAATAATTTTTTAATATGTACCCGGAGTAAATTTTATTTCTTATCGATATACCGATTTTTAAATAAAATGATTTCAAAAAGTGGGATATTTCTCATCGTAAATCCCAATTTGTAATCAATTTGGAGACGGAGAAGTATATTCTAACTTCAATTCATAACAAAAAAAAGTGTTAATGTGATCATCAAGTGAGAACGATGTAGGGGTGTATTCAGAATTTTAAAAGATTATACGAAGTGATAGATTGTTTAGAATCTATTGATTCTTTGAAATTTAGAGTTTGATAGATTTTAAAATATTTTACGAGCAAGATTTTATAAGATTCTATCATATCGTATTATTTTGTAATCTATAAATTATTTATATTTAAATAATTTGAATTATTTTTAAATGTATACATTGTTCTAACATCAATTATTACTTATAAAATCAGTTTAAAAGTTAAAAATAATAGAACAAATTAAAATAATATAACTTTAAAAAAATAATATCATTGTTATTTAAATTTAATATCATAAAATAATTTATTGATCATTGTCATAAGTTAAAATAATAACTTTGTGGAGTAAATTTATATGCATGCTTTTTCTCAAAAACTAATACTCCTTAGCTTTTTTTAATTGAAAAGAAAACCTAGAAGTCAATACCCTATGACTCCTATGAGAAAATACAACCCAAAGCTCTTCCAATTTAACTCTCTTAAGATGCCAATATGCCACAACTAAATCAGTTTTAATCCTACAAGATCATCTCCTCCCATTTTCTCTTGCTTTCATAATAGTTGAGTGCTTGTTCCATCCAAATAGGCAAAGAGCTAGTGACAAAAAACCCCCTAAAGCATCACTCCTTCCCTTGTAAACTCCATCAAAAGCCTCCAAAGGTTGTAATCTCTCAGCTCAAATGGAGTCTCACATTATCTGGAATATGCTTCGAGCTATCTTTGATTTTCTGGATAAAATTCTCAGGTCTTATCTTATTTGAAATATATTACTAAGATCCATAAAATTAGTTAGTAGTAACTAGTAAGGTACTAATTGAGTACATTCCATCTATTTTATCGTTAGAGTTAAAGTTTTAGTATTTTGATAAATACTAAATTTTACTTTTACAATCATTATGTTATTAAATTTAAATAAATCCTTCCTTTTTCTCGAAGTTAAAAAACTTTAAATCATAACGCCTAAATAGATGTAATGTACCTTCGAAATATAATATCACAAATTTTAAAAACCCCGAAGTATATTTTGAATAATGTGAGATTTAAGGAATCTTATCAAAAAACTTAGTGCACCCAAAAGTATATTTCAAATAATATGAAACGTGAGAGTCATTACTTGAAAATCAAAAGTACTCTAAAGTAATTTTCTGCACAATTTACTTCTTAAACCTTGCATCAAAAATTGCACAAATAATACTCCTATAACTACTCCGTATATTATTTGTAATAGAATTTAATTTTGTGAAAACTATGTGTGTCTTTTATTTTTGCACCCACATGCGCCTGGGCCTACCTAGGGTGTTCTCCACGACTCCGCACAGTTAACATGGTGCGACCAACGAAAGGCAGCCGTCCGGTTATCAACGTCTTCGCCGGAGAGGCTTTTAAACCGCCGCCAGTCGTGAATCACCGCCGTCAGATCGGCCAATTTGGCGGATATGGTCCGGCAACAGTTGGCGTGGACGGTGACCACCGACCTGACATCGGTGCTGTCCTGACAAAACCCGCTGAAGAATTTGGTGTCCAGGAATCTCACATTGAGGCCCAGCTTTTCGATCCAGCCATGGCGGATCAGCTTGTTCAGGACATCCTGTTCCTTCAACCCGGCCGAGGAGTTCCTCATGTCGTACCAGGAATCGAACAGCGCGATGGTCCGGTTGTTGGACCGGATCATGTAGAACCCGGTGTTGATCGGGTTGGACTCCGACCGGTCGTCCCCGTTGAAGTCGTCCGTACTGATTTGAAGATCTAGGGTTTCGTTGTGGCTGCTCATCAATTTGGGGAATGGATCTCTTAGCCAGAGAACATCACTGTCCTGTGTAACATCATAAACAAATTCCAAACTACACTGAATATATATAAAGAGTACGTCAACATTATTATAATTGGAATTTAAACATATGATCTCATTACATTGTGTATTTATCTTAAAATAGGCACTTTAGTGATTTGAAAGAAAAAAATCCTAGATGACTTCATAAGTTAAGTGATAGAAAAGAATAGAGTAAATTCTATAATTGGTCCTTTATAATATAACGGGGGGTTTCCATATTTAGTCCTCTATTATCAAATATTACCCCCGTAGTTCTTTTTTTGGTGGCACCTTTCCACAAATGATCCTTTTTTTGAATTTCTGTCGTGTTGGTATTAATTTAAAGGCTAAAAGTATAATTTGACATCAACATAGTTAATGACTATGATTGTGGGCTAGGATTCTGACGAAAGATTACATTTGTAGACTATAGTTATCGTAAAAAGCGAGTGTAATTTACAAACGATGCAAATGGAATAACTTTTGGAATTGTGTATGACAAAAAAGATATATTATCATTGTGAAATTACACTTTTAGCCCTCAAATTAACACCAACATGATAGAAGATCAAAAAAGGACTATTTGTGGAAAGGTACCCATAAAAGAATGACCACTGGAATATTATTTGATAATAGAGGACTACATAGGGAAACCCTCCTATTATAAAGGACCAATTATAGAATTACTCAAAAGAATATGGTCACCTAAAATGAGATAAATTAGACTAATCACATATTAGTGGGTAATTGAGTGCGCTAGTCGTATACAACAACAACAACAACCCAGTTAAATCCCACAAGAGTAAGGTCTGGGGAGGGTGTGTGTACGCAGACCTTACCCCTACTCTAAAGTAGAGAGGCTGTTTCCAAAGAAACCCCCGGCTCAACGTCGAAAGTTGCATTGTTTGACTAACTGCTACTTCATTAATTAAAGAAGCGCAGACAGTTTAGAGATCCATTTTGATTTATTCCATCACACCCCAAAACCAAAAAATGGTGAAATTTTGGCTCCATCGGAGATGATGGAAAATGCGCTAGTCGTATATTGGTGGCTAATTGGGCTTAACATAGAACGTCGTAGCAAAATTTGGCGGGAACCCGCACGCCAAGAGGACGCCTATTTTACATGACAAAAACTAACCCTGTTGCAAATGGATCGTCTCCGTCCCAAAAACTAATCTCGTAGTGTACGGCCATTCGTGTAAGACCCTAGTTGTCCTAAACATTTTCTTTATAGTCTCTTAATGTCCTTCTCTTTGTCACTCAGAAAATATACACTATCATACAAGGGAGATGTATATATATATTTCTTCGTTCAATCTATCTTCGACTTTTAGTAAAATATCTGCTTTGGGTACATGAGTATGTCTCATGTCATACTCATGTACTTAATTTTGTTTTTGGGGAAGAATGGAATTGTTCAACCATGTAGAAAATACTCCTCCGGATGAATACTAAGAATACGCAGTACAAGCATGTGAGTAAGTACAATTTGAAATTTGAATTATTCTACATGGTTGAACAATTCCATTCTTCCCCAAAAACAAAATTTTCAAGAAAATAATTATTGAGTGATCCAATTAATTTGATATATATTTAACTTTTCAATTTTCTCAACAATAATAATATATTTCCAAATAAATTATAATGGAACATTTTTTTACATCTCTATAGTTTTCTTAAATTCCATGAAAATCAAAATTCTCCACTAAGGACTTGTTTAGAAAATGAAGTACTCCCCTCCGTTTGGAAAAAATGTTCTTCTTTTGACTTTGTGTAAAAATAAGGAAGTATTAAATTGTAGTTGACTTCCAATTTTGTCCTTGATGTAATAAGTAAAAGTAAGATGTGATGGATAGATTATTAGAGATAAAGTATGATGTGATAGGTAGGGTATGAAAAAGTAAGGGTAAAAGTGGTTTTTTAATAGAAAATAGAAGTGTTTTATTAGAAGTGAAAAAAAATGAAAGAAGAAATATTTTTGAGAAGGGAGGGAGTAGCTTTTTAAACGCAGTCATGAATTTTGAAAAACACCGACGATGTCTTTTCAAAACGTTAAAACTGTTACTTCGTGCGAAGACGAGAGGGTATATTAGGAAAAACAGGCAAACATACCGTAAAGATGAAGGAGTAACCGAGCTTCAGAACATCGCGGAGGAACTGAGTCCTCCGCCACATCATCTTGATGAAGTCCTCGGACATGTACACCTCCTCCCCCGCGAAATCCACGCCGTCCGTCTCCAGCCGGTAGCAGTGCAGCAGCCGGAGGAACACACACCGCTCGTACGAGGTTTGGTCCACGGCGGCCACCAGCACGTGCCTCACCAGCTCCCTCGTCCCCTCCCCCACCCAGAACCCGTCCAGGAACAGATCCAGCATGGGTTTGTCCCCTTCCACGTATGCCCGGTTCACCACCGCTATAATGACCGTTTTGTCCTCCCTGCTCGCCCTCCCCAACGCCTCGTCCAGCTTGTCCCTATAGATCGCCATCGTATATAGCCTCTGCTTCATGTATAATAATTAACGTTACATTATTTCATTCAAAATGGATATAAAAGTATAGAAATGGGAAAGGGAAATTACTTTATTGGCCATGGAGGGGAGATCGCATGGAGGGGTATGGGTGGGAAAGATCTCGGATTGGGAGGGGTTAGTGGAGATGATGAAAATGTAGATGAAGCCGATGAAGAGAAGGGCATACAGGAGAAAATGGAAATAATCGGCTGCCCGGAAATTCTTTGGATGCGACGATGAGTCCATATTGGTGGCGGAGAGGGGCGCGGCGGCGGTTGGTGGGTTCTTGAATGTCGCCGGCGGAGGGGAATGAGGCGTTTCCGATTAGAGTGGAGTGTTTGGGGGTTTGTTGATTTGACTGCTCCTTTTTTGTTTTTGTTGCGTGCGTTATGGTTCTTTAATTTCATTAAAATGGACTTAAACTTGGAGAAATAATATTACTCCCTCCGTCCAAAATTAAATTTTACATTACTCGTTACGATGTTTGACTGAAGTTATTTTCAAATCATTTTATATGAAAAATGGTGTAGAATTAAAAAATAAAAATTACATATAAAAAAACTATATCAAAAGATCTACAAAACTAGAGGTGACATGACTATATTATTTTATCAAATGGGTGACGAAAATAGGCCAACAAAGTGAATAAAGTTTGACTCTATGAATAGTGAACGTAAAGTTTATTTGTGGAAGGAAGGAGTATATTGTGGCTGCACCTATATAAATACGGAGGATAATAATAATCAAAGAACAGTGGTATTTCCTCATTCGAAAATTAATTTTTGAAAATACTTAGTAGTGGTGGATCCAAGAATTCGGTTAGTTGAGGTCACCACATTTTGTTGTCTCTAAAGTCTATATAATACTCTTTCCAAGCCAAATAGCGCCAGTACCTCTCGTGGTTTGCAAAACAAGCACCAATATCCCCTCTATTTTCAAAATTTATTTCTAAAATCCATGTGGTTTCAAAATGTTGCACCTGTGCCCCCTCTGATCATTTTCCGGTCATTTTTCCGGCGAATAAGGGGGGCATTGGTGCATATATTTTAAACCATAGGTGGTATCAGTGCTAATTTTTATTTCTTGCATATTTTTTGTTTTTTCCATTTTTTCCTTTTTGTTTCATTTATTAATAAAAGGTTTTTTTAAAATTATTTTTTATAATGTTCTTAAAATTTAAAGTTACTTTTGTTTGAAAAAATTAACATATAATGCATATGTACGCCTCAAATTAAAATTTTGTTTTTTCTGAAAAAAGTAAATTTTTTTGAAAACTTCAAGAAAATGAAGAATAAAATAAGAAAAAAATAATAAAAATAAAAATGAATATCCTTTTTGGACATATTAGTTCTAAGGACTTTTTTAGGCGTGTCTATTATTTTTTTGTATAAGCATTTTTTTGCGTATTTTAATTTTTTTTCATTTCGTTTTTCCATATTTTTATTTTTTTATTCTGGGTTTTTTTTGAACTTTCCAAAAAATTATTCTTAGTAACAAAAAGTGAAAATGTTTAATTTGAGATAGATTTAATGTATGTTAGTTTTTTATTTTTATTTTTATTTCAAACACAAAGAATTTTAAAATTTTTGGAACATTATAAAAAATGAAAATATATTTATAAAAAAGGGAAGAATAATAAACGAAAATAAGAAATGAGCACGAATGCCCCCTATGATTTAGAAATTATGCGCGAATGCCCTCTCTTCACCGGAAAATGATCGAAAAATGATCAGAGGAGGTGTGAGTGCAACGTTTTGAAACCACAGAGACTTTAGAAATAAGTTTTGAAAACAGAGGGGGGTATTGGTGCCAATTTTCCAAACCACAGGGGCACGAGAGCTATTTGGCCTCTCTTTCCATACCAAAATCATCTTCTCATTTGATTTTTCTTCGTCAAAGTCTAAAAACTTTAAAAATCACTCCAAATAAAATTAAAATATAGAAACAAATATCAAATAGGAGTTCTATGTTTTTATTTCCAATATAAGACTTCGCACTGTGCTAATGTAGTTGTAATGTGGCACTGTACGTGCGCACATCACTATACTTTTTGATAATGTACATGACCATGTTTGGTAATATAAATGCATTTTAACTCTTATTTCGTAAATAAAATCATGTAAGTCCTATTTTGGCATATTTTCAATATTTTACTCATAGTTTAGTTTTTTCCCCTATAAATTTTGACTCTGATATGTATAAAAAATACATTGTATTATGATATATAATTAATATTAATATATTTCTATTGAAACGTCGTTTTGAAATATCAATTTTTTATAAAATATATATGCATAAACTAACATAGATATTAATGGTCAAAACTAATAGTAATATTAGAGACCGTGAAAAGTCAAATGAGAAAAATATTTCTAGACGGAGAGAGTAATATGAAATGACAACAAAAGTAAGGAATTAAATTTTAATTCAAATATTAGTCGAATGTGAGTTTTTAAATATACAATATCATACTCCGTATTTATCACAGAACTTAAATTTAGTTGGAGTCCATTACCTCCACTTCTAGAGGATAGATTTGCCCTTGCCTGTTTTGTCAATATATTCAATATCTAAAAAAAAATATTCAATCACATTGTTTAGCTTTAATATATTTGAATAAAAATATCACCTTTCAAAATGGTAAATTATTCTCGATCAAACGCCGGAGAGTTTTCATAGGGATTAGGGATAGCCCATATAAGAATACTTTTGATCACATATAAGATGGAATAGGAAAAAAATTAAAGATATAGACAAAGTAGTTACTCTTCCATATCATAAAAGAACAAATATTATCACTACCTTCCTCCTATAATAAATTACACAATATTATTATTACAATCTCTCAATAACTTAGTGAAAATTGTCTAAATAAG